CAGGCCAGGGAATAAAGGGGGTACCTGTGGTTGGGCCAGAGTCCAGGGCCTGGGGAGCCTAGGTGAGAGAGACCACGGATGACAGCAGCCAAGCAAAAGTAACCTCCATCAGCCGGGCCACATGAAACATGCTAGCTGAGATACAGGGGAGTCATCCAAGGGACAGTCCACACGGGGGCTAAGTGTGGGGTTCCACCTCAAGGGGCTCCATGGCTCCAGTCACTAAATCAACTTGAGACTCTGTGACTCTCTGTCCTTTCAGGAGCCAAAGCCACTCCTGCTAGTGGGCTGAGGGCACACAGAGCTACCCTGCCTACTCTGCTCTGGGAGCTGTCCTATTGTGACAGGGCTTCAGGGCAGGGCCATGTCCTCCCCCAATCAGGGCTGTCAGAGAGAGCCCAAGCTTGAGGCCATGTCCCCTTTTTGCACCCAAACTTTCTGGGTAAGGCAGGCCTGTAATTTTGGATGTTCAGATGTGGTGGCAGGCACGTCCCCCTCCAGGAAGGTTTCTTGGGTTTCTGGGTACCCTAAGAATGTTTCAGCTCATTCCCAAGGTCCTAGAGTCTGTCTCAGATCAGGCTGTGTCTTGTTCTCAAATTCCCCAAACATCTCCTGATCACCAGCTTTATGCCAGATGTCCTTTTCTCTGTGTGCCCAGGAGCCCCGGTTGACTGCCCTTTTCTCCTTCACCAGTGGCTTGCATCCACTTTGCCTTTCATTTTCCTCCTCAAGACTGGCTGCCAAGTAGGGCACATCGCTCCAGTTCCCCTGCTTTCTACCCTCTCCAGACAGGCACTCAGGCCTTCATATTCCTGAGGGCGTTTCTTTTTTTTTGAGATGGAGTCTCACACTGTTGCCAGGCTGGAGGGCAGCAGCGTGATCTCGGCTCACTACAGCCTCTGCCTCCCAGATTCAAGCGATTCTCCTGCCTCAGCCTCCCAAGTAGCTGGGATTACAGGCCTGCGCCATCACGCCCAGCTAATTTTTGCATTTTTAGTAGAGACGGGCGTTTCACCACATTGGCCAGTCTGGTCTTGAACTCCTGATCTCAAATGATCCGTCCACCTTGGCCTCCCAAAGTGCTGGGATTACAGGCTTGAGCCACCGCGCCTGGCCTCCTGAGGGCATTTCTGCCAATACTCTAGGGAAAACTGAACAAGAGTCCAAATCATGACTGGTAAGGTAAGAGACACGACTGAGCCCACTCTGACTGTGGTGTACACTGAGGAACTGGCAGGGAGAGAGGCCTTCCACATCCGGCTGGGCTCATGAAAAGGACCACACAACATCGTGGCCACCAGGGGGCGGGCTGCACCTGCTGGACCACTGACCGGTTTGAAAGCCTTATTCTTAGGAGTGAAGTATCTTTAGATGGGAAGGATGCTGTACCCAGTTCCTACCTGGGGACAAGTAGAGAACATCCTTGGGGACAAGGGTAGAGGTAGAAGATGGCTAGGAAGCCCCAGTTGTCAGTGGACATAGGCATTTGATTGGAAGAATCCATGTGGATGGGGGAGAGTGGGTCTTGGTAAGAAAGGATCAGGATGTTGAGGAAGCATGGGAGTTATGGGTGTTGAAGGCAAAAGGATGAGCTGTTGGGGACCCCTTAGGGATGGTGTCCTGGAACAAGCTGAGTGGGGAATACAGAGTGTCTTGAGGTGTAAGGATGTCCTCTGCCTTTCCTAACACGTTGATCATCCCAGTTATGGGGAAAAGTAGTAGCTGAAGGTCACACCCTTCCCCTAGAGACCTCTACCTCCTTGTTTCAGATGCTACTCGCAGACCACTCCAGCCCAGGCATGTAACTGTGATTTGATTACATGATCCAGTAGAGCCCCCACTGTTGCTTAAGCTGGTCTGAGTTTTGACTTTAACCTTCAGATCTTAACTAGTTTCTGAACTGGTGCCTGTTCCTTGCTCAAGAAGTCTCAGTGGCTCCAGATTACCCTTAGGTTAAATTCCAAACTCAGCCTGGTCTTCAAGACCTCCACCTCTTCCTCCATCATTATGTCCTTCTTCTCCTCAAATACAGGCTTCTCTGTGGAGATTGTAGATGAAAAAGTCCTCTCATCAGGGAACTGAAGTCTCCAGAAATGATGCTGTTAGCATCATCTCTGTAGGGACTCCCTGGAGAATAAATCAGTTTTACTCTGTGCCACCTTCTGATTGCTCTTCTGCTTCCTCCGTTAGGCTGTGAGCCCCTTAAGGGTATTTTGTCCACCGCATGTGGCCCTAGTCTGGCACAATAAAGGCACCCAATACATACTTGGTGTGGGAGTGGTTTGGCCTGCCTAGGCTAGCACAGGGCTCTTTGGAACTGATTTCAGACTCTGGGCCTGGTTCCCAGTAGGAAAGAAGGGCTGCTGCCTGGAGGAACCTCATCTAGGTCCCAAGGTGACCCCAAGGGAGAGACCTGTGGGTAGGCTCAGGTTCATATCCACTTTACTAACCACCAGGAATCTCTGCCCAGATCCAACTTCCACTTCTTTCCCAATAGGACAATAGGACAATAGGATACCTACCACTCTCAGGCCCAGCTCCTGAAAGAAAGGGCTGGGAAGACTGAGCTAGAGACATGTGAAGCTAGACTCAGAAAGAGACAGAGACATAGAAAAATACCTGAGACAAAGCGAGAGACAGAATCTGAGTTACAGACACACAAAACTTGAGACTGAGATGCCCACAAAGAGGAGAAAAAGCAGACCAAGAAACAGTGCCTGCAGGGAGAGATTCAAAGGTAGAGAGCAGGGCAGGGGCAGGCTGCGATGATAGAGGCAGACAGCATTGCAAAGGGCCCTCAACTCTGCCTGGGCCCACAAGCCAGAAATTTGGAGGCCATTTCCTCCTTGCTCATCCCTCACTCCTCAAGCCCAAGCAGTAGGCAAGACTTGTCCAACCTCCTTCCAAAATGTATCTGGAATCTGTCTAGCCCCCTTAATCCTCACAACTATCATCATCCTCTTTCTGTATTAATGCAATATCTTCTGTAGGTCTCCTTGCCTCTTGCACTACCTCAGCAGAAATATTTTGAACACATATCTGATTATGTCATTCCCACAGCCCCCCAGATAAAGCCCAGATGCTTTTCCTGCTTTACAAGGCTTTGCTTGATCTGAGAGCTACCCAGCACCAGAGTCCAAAATCCCAGCCATTGCAGACCTTTCCAGAGCATGTGATGTCTCTCGCCTCTAGGCCTGGAACATGCTGCTTGCTGCTTCTTCTAGCTGAACACCCATCTGTGAGGTCCACTCCCTAGTTCCCCTTTCCTCAAATCACCATCTCACTTTGATCTCAATGCCCACTGTTCCTTCCTCAGGGGCAGCCTCTCTCTGGCCTCACTCCTTACCCTTGCACTCGCAGAGCAGTGCCGCCCATATGCGCCACCTGAGTCCAACTCCAACCACCCCCTCCTAGAGCTCTACCAGACTCCAGGCTAGGCTGCCCTGGACAATTTCTTCCCTCTTCCTATCTGCTCCTGTGCTTGGTCCCTTGGGGCTGGGTTCGTCAGTCCTAGCCTCATGTCCTCCTACCTTTGGCATCCCAAACTTTACCCCCTCACTCTATGCAGCACCTTCATTCTAGGGTTATGGTCCTTTCTACATGTCTCATTTGTATGTTTAAAAAAAAAAAAATCTAGGCTGCGTGTGGTGGGTCACACCTATAATCCCAGCACTTTCGGAGGCAGAGGTGGGCGGATCACTTGAGGTCAGGAGTTTGAGACCAGCCTGGCCAGCATGGTGAAACCCCATCTCTACTAAAAATACAAAAATCAGCCGAGTGTGGTGGTGCGTGCCTGTAATCCCAGCTACTCAGGAGGCTGAGGCAGAATTCTTGAACCTGGGAGGTGGGGGTTATAGTGAGCCGAGATTGTGCCACTGCACTCCAGCCTGGGCAACAGAGCAAGACTCCATCTCAAACAAACAAACAAAAAAACCTAATCCACTAGTGTTCTATTAAAATAATTATATTTAAATAAAAATTAAAGTATTAAACCTGTTCTTGTACAGGTGGTACAAGGACACTGTATGATGGGAATTTGGGAAATGTGACTTCAACCAACACTTTGGTGCTCTGTCTAGGTCTGCTTGGGCCCCTTTCACTGTTTCTGGACGTCCCCTACTGGGGCTTGATGTGCTCTGGCCTCCCATGGCTGGCACCTGTCCTCAGGACATTGGGGCTGCTTTGTTCCTATTCCCAGAGAACCCCAGAGTGCCCACGGACTTAAGGCCCCCAGGGACAGCCTTTGGCTATGACTGACTGACTTGTGTGAGAGTATGATAGCTCAACTCCCTACTTGTCATTTTAGATAACTCTGAGATCCCGTGTCTAGGGCAGAACCTTGCATATAGAAGGCACTCAATAAGTGTTTGTTGAATGAATACAGCCAAATTTATCAATCTTATCCTGGCAATTTCTTAAGTTTTTGTCACTCTTAGGCCTTTCCCATCCGAGATCAAAAAGCACATACCCATATTTGTTCTGGTGTATTTATTTATGTTAATTTTTTATATTTAATTATTCAATCTATCTTGAATACACTGTAAGGACTGGGATAAAGATATATTTTCTCCTCATGGATAGTCACTTGTCCCAACAATTTTTGAATCTTTCTTTCATGTATAAAACCAAAATACTGTGTTATTTAAGACTGTTTCAGTAAGGTATTATGCAATCACTTATAATGGTAGTTACAGCAATTATGTCACCACATAAGAAAATGCTAACCTTATAATTTTAAACATGGCTTTTTTATAGCTACACAAAATTATGTCAGCATATAGGCAAAGACAGGGAGAAATGGAGGAAATTCGAGATTGACTAAGGGATGGTGATAGGGCTATAGGTGATATTTTTATTTGATTCTATTAATATTGATAAAATAAACAATAAATCAAACAGCATAATTGAGGGGAACAAGGACTTAAAAGATAGCAAGTTGTTTTCTTGCTTGAGCCTGAAACAAAGACTTGGGCGAAGCTAAGGGTTTTTCTTCAAGGTGATCTTAGGATCCTGAGGATGGTGGGGGATGCAGGTAAGGGAAAATTGTTACTGGAGGGTCCTGGGGAGTCATTGCTACAAAAGAGGCCAAACAGAAAAGACTCTATATATGAAAATGACTTCCTCTAGCCCTGTTCCACTGAGCTCTGAGCTTCCCAGACTTCACTAAGTGAACAGAAGCTCTGGAAGTACCTCCCACCTCCCAAATAAGGGATCCAGCCCTCAAGCATGTGAATCAGTGACTCCGAATGTTCCCATCACTTTGCCCTCGCTGATGGACTATTTGGGATGCTTCATCAACCAGGCAGCAGAGATGCTAATCTTTTTGTTTATGACCAAAAACTGTAGAACCATATCCCCAGGCCCTCCCCACTCAGCAATCTCTGGAAGATCCTTCTCTGACCCCTTAGAATTCAGAAGTCTTTTTATTTTTTATTTTCTAGGAAATTGAGTTCACCAGGTCCCAGGCCAGTCACATCCTCATAACAAATGTGAAGAGCATTAGAACAAGGGAAATGCTGCGTGCCATGGGGCCCTAATGTGATCTGTACTTGGGAGAATTAAGAAGGGCATGCCCTGGAGCCTGGGCTATTACACTGGGGCTTGCCTTACTGACTAAAAGGGCACTTCTTCCACCATCATGGATCAACCCCATGAGGTGATTCACTGGGGTCCCAAAGGTGCCCTTGGAAAAGCAGCTACACACGTGAGTACCCCCCCAAGGGCAACTGGCACCTGGTCCCGCCCACACACACACACACAGCCAGAATGCCAGTGGAGGTCCTGGATTTGGAGCAGAACGCCCCCCTCTTGCCTACCAGCTACCTTTTACAGCAGCTCCCCTGAAGTGCCTTCCCACCTGCCTTGGCCGCAGGAGCCCTGTCCCAGGACTGTCTCCCACACCTGGACCCTCATGGGGCTCCTACAGGTAGAGACCACCGAGGTCTGCAGGCTGACCACAGGCCAAAGGCTCTTCCGGAAGTGTCCTTTAATACTTTGGAGACGCTCGCCGGTTCCTCCGGTGAGCACGGGACCTGACTGCATCCAGCTCCAGGATCCAGGAGATGTGGGGAAGTGAGAAAGATCCTGTTTGGCCTCGCCTGCTGGAAGCCACAGAAAAGCTGGACGTGACCGCAAGGCCTGAAGTGCGCGCGCAACCTGGCAGGGCTTGGCAGGCAGCTCTTCGCCTGAGGCCGCCCACTGAACCCTGCCCACCGACGTCGCGCCCTGTAGACCCGCCCAGGCCCTCCTGATTGGTGGAGAGCGCGCGCGAGTTCTCCTGCCCCGCCCCCGGGCCCACCCTCCTGCGGCACTACCCCGCCCCCTCGCTTACTGGGCTGAGTGTGGCCTGTAAGTTGGAAGCTGACGACGCGGGCGCCAAAGGACCCCGACGCTCCCAGGCTGAGGGGGCACTTTGTTGTCTCTCCCACGCTCTGGCCGTCGTCCTAGGCCTGACAGTGGCCGGCTGCCTTGCACAAGCACAGCCCCTGCCAGGCTCGGTTTGCCACCAGCGCCTTCCGCTCTTCTGCCCTCGACGGACTCCCCCGGTCCCCTTGCTGCACGGCACCCGAAAATGCCCACTGCCCAGGCCCTCCTCAGTCATGATACCCTCACGTACAGGAGGTTGGTCCTTCAGGACCCGCAGCCCCTCACACGGGCTCTGGGGCCGAATGCTGATGCGAGTCCCGCCAGCATCCGCACGACCTGAGCCGCTGGCCCGGTCCGCAGATCCCCTCTCTGCACGGATCACTCCCGATCTCGCTCACTCCTGCGACCCCTCAAGCCGGGCAGCGCAGCCCTGGGCCTCTCCGAACCTTCCCCACGTTCCCGGCCTCCATCACAGCAGCGCCGTGCCCGGGCCCCTCTGCGGCTCTTCCGTCTGGGTGTCAAGACCGCTTCTGGGCAGCCCCACTTCTGCACACCACTTCCCTCCGCACTCACGCCCCAGGCCCCTCGGTTCCCTCGCCGGGACGCCCCTCGCCCAGCACCTCCGCCCAGCCCTTCCCGCGCCTCCTCGCGGTAAATATCCCTCCTCGGGCCCCCTTCCTCGCTCCTGCCTCCATGCCATGCCCCTCGGCCCCTGGGCTCCCACACCTCACCCTTCCGAATCCTGCCATTGCCCCCCGCGGGCTCCCGCGAATTCCCCCGCTCCCCTCACCCCACCCATCGGCCTCAGACTCCTCCCCACATCTCTCACACCCCAGGCCTCCCTGACACCCCTCACTTCTACCCCCCCAGCCCCCGTGCCGTCTGCTACACCCCGAGCCCCGAGCCCCACTCAACTGCCCCGGGCCCCCGCGCGCGCGGCCGCCCCCTTCCGCCCTCCACTCACCCCGTGTGGGCCCCGCTCCCCTCTCCCCCACCAGGCGAGCAGGCGAGCGGGCAGAGCCCGCGGCGGAGGCCGGTCCCCGGGCCGGGACACACCCACTCGCCCGCCCTTCTTCTTTCCCTCCCTTCCTTTCTCCTTCCCTCCCTCTCTCCCGCCCTCCCGCCCTCGCTCGCTCCTTCCCCCTCGCCCTCCCGCTCCCGCTTCCAGCGGCGCCGGGCCTCCCGCTCCGCCTCCCCGTGCGCTGCTCTCCCGGGCGCGGCTCCGGGGTTCATGGTGACGAGGCGGCGGCCGCTCGAGCCCAGCGGCGGCGGCGGCGGCGGCGGGAGCTGGGGCGCGGGCCCGGGCCGCCTCTCCCAGAGCGCGGGGCCGGGCGGCGGGCGCGCCCAGGCGGCGGCTGCGAGCGCCCCCACGCTCCGCGCCCCCGCGCCCCCCGCGCCGCGCCCCCGCGCGCTTGGCTTGCGGGGGGGCCGGGCCAGCGGGCGGCCGCCGCGCCGCGCACCCATGGACGGCCCGGCCATCATCACCCAGGTGACCAACCCCAAGGAGGACGAGGGCCGGGTGCCGGGCGCGGGCGAGAAAGGTGAGGAGGGGCGCAGGCGGCCGCTGGCCGGGGGCGTGCGCACACCCCGCGTCGCTGGAGTTCGCTGCCGGGCGCCGGCACGGGCCTGGGGGAGGGGTGCACAGGGCCCGGAGGGTGCGTGGGTGTGGGGTGCGCCCGGAGGAGCGCGAGGCTGCCAGAGTGCGTGTGCCGACCGAGCCAGTGTGAGTGTGCAGGGGCTGGCGGAGAGACTGGGAGCAAGTGTGTGTGCATCTAACCGGGAGGTTGTGAGTTTGTGTGCGCGCACGCCCGCAGAGAAGTTGTGAGCCTGTGTGTACACCTAACACAGACGTGTGTTATGTGTGTGTGTGTGTGTGTGTGTGCACACGCGGACAGAGCGATTGTAAGGGTGTGTGTGCACCTCACAGAGAGGTTGTGAGATTGTAAGGGTTTGCGAACCTAACGGAGACGTTGTGAGTGCTTTTTTTCCTGACAGGCTGTGAGTTTGTGTTGTGTGTATTAGAGGTTTGTATGGGCCTGATCGAGGGGTTGTGGAATGTGTGTGCGTGAGCGTGAGCCTGGAGAGGTTCTATGTCTGTTCACTCCTGACAGAGTTTGTGTGTGTGTATCATTGTGTGACTACACCACCCAACTGGCAGATTGAATGTGTTGTGTACCTCTACTGGGAGGGTGTGTGGGGGGTAAATTACACACAATGAGGCTGTGCACCTAACCACGAACCTGTGTGTGCCTTCCTGTGTATCAGACAATGAGGCCATGTGTCTGTGTGTGTTTAGTTGGTTGTGCAAGTGCTGGAGTCTGTGGGGGAGAGAAGGCAGTTCGGAGCCATCCCCACTTTCTCCCTTTTCCACTCTTTGCTGTCTCGGGGCCACCAGCCTGTTGGGAGGACTTACAAGGCCTGGCCCTTCCAGGACCCTCTTAGGACCGAGCTTTAAAGGGCACTTGTGGAGCCCTTATGGTGCCAGGAGTGTCCCCTCCCAGAGAGCTGGCCAAGGGCTCAGCCAGCACTGTGCTGCTGTGCCTGGTTTGATTTTGGCACATTTTGACCCCAGCCCCCCATTCTGTTTCCTTTTGGCCCTTTCTCTTGGTGTCTATATTCCCACTTAGAGACTTGGCGTGTCCCCCTCTCTTGCATGCCTGGAGCTTTCTGTGCCTCTAGTGTGTTGGGGCTTGGACAGACTATTTTGAAGGGTCAAGGAATCTGGCTTGTTTTGTTCTGGTGACTAAAGCTTGCCTCATTCTCTTCCTGTCATGCGCCTCGTGAACACCTGGACTGAGGTCAGGTGCAGCCCGCCAGGACCCATGACCCCTCTCCAGGCCAGAGCTGGCCACAACCGGCTTTGGGGACGAGTCAGATTTCTTTCTAGGGGCTCCTACCTTTGCTGAACCAGTGGGTGAGGTGTGCAGCCCCTGCTAGAAATCTGGGTGGGAGTGAGGGGAATATTCTGCCTCTCCCCAGGCAGAGGCCACTGGGCAAGCCCATCAGAAAAATGGAAGGAACCAGCAGGTATCCTCAGGTTGGGCATTTGTTTACCTGTTTGCAGTTTTCGTAGACCACAAACATGGTATGCGTCTGCGGACTGGATTTCTTTTATGTAACATAAAGAATTCAGACTCTCTCAGGCATTTTTCTGTGCCTTTCAGATGGTCTAAAAAATTCTGCAAGAGAGTGCTCCAGGTAAATCTCCGTATTTCTCTGGGACCCAAGTGGGCAGCTGCTTGGTGATCTGGCCTTCCTGCCATAGGAGCTGTTAGTTCTTGGAGCCCTGGCTGGGTGTGTGCCCTCAGGGAGCATTTGGTTGGAGGCATCAAGGAGGTTTTTTGCCTGTGCTCCTTACCAGCTGTAGATTGAATGCTTTGTGTGATGCTTTGCCAGAGAGAATCCACAGCTCTTTGAGGAGAGGTGTGGCACAAAGCAGGGAAATATTTTCAGAGCCTCAGACCTCCTGCTGCCCCCCACCTGACTCCAGGAGCAGGAGCTCTGCCAACTTTCCCTTTTCCTCTAGCGGCTAGGATTTTTAAAACAAAGAATCAATCTATCCAAAATCCAAACCATATACAAATACTCCAGGATAGTGCTTGTTCTATTCAACTTGTTTACATTACTTTTCATGACAATCTTTTATTATCTTTAGCAGCCTATTTTGTTTGCCAGTGTCAGATTGGTTGTTTGTTAACGGATTAGAGGAATTCTTTACCTGCAGCCCTGGGGTGGGGTGGTTGGCTAGTAGGTCCTTCTTGCTGAAGCATTGAAATCCTACTCAATTTAGTTCTTCACTTAAAAAAATGGAAATAATTTTGTTTACCTGTAATGTGGCAATAGACTCTAGAGCCAAATGTTGGAACAGTTTCTTCAGATTTATAAACCAGTAAATAGGTTCAGCAATGTTTCTAGCTTAAGCGTGTTGATATCTTCAGATGGGCCCATAAAATTATGTAAAATACAGTTTTGCATAAATTTACATTATTTTACATAATTTATTTTGAGATAAACAATTACTTTGTTTTAAAAAATATTGGGCCTGGAATATTTTAAGTTTTATAATAGGAAAGAAACTATTGCTTTTACATGTTTACTTTCATCATTTATTCTCTAAAATAGGAATAGTAATGACTACCTCTGGGGTGTGACCTGAGGGTTCAAAGAGATGATGTACATTAAAGTCTCTGCCTGGTTCAACAGTGTGTGGTGATTCCATAAATCTTTCTTTAGATACAGATTTACAAAGGAAGCACTAAGCATGGGCTGTGGTGTTTTGCACCAAGTTGAATTACTTCTTGACACATTGCCACGTGGTGGTGCACAACTCAGAGATGACTGTCACTGCCAGCCTGGCCTGTCACAGAATGCTCATATCTGACAGTTGTGTTTGATTTGGTTGATCATGTCAAGATAAAGAGACAAATTTCCCTGTAAGTTTAACTCAGCCTACTTTGCAGTCTGGAAGTTTCCTGTTACACATTAGTAAGAAAATGTCCAACAGTCAGTAGAAAAGTGGACAGGAGTTAGGAACAAGAAAGTCATAGAGGAAGAAATCTGAATGGCCAATAAATATTTGAAGTGGTGCTCTACTTCATGTGAAACCTTTTCATGCATCAGCTTGGTTGAACATTTAAATGATTGCCAATATTCAAAGTAGACAAAGGTTTGGAAAATGACTTAATAGACTTTTGTGAGAGAATAAAGTGAGTACAGAGTTTTTAGAGAGTAATTTAATACTGAATCAATTAGGAATACATTTGGCTGCAAGTAACAGAAAACCAGATTAGCTGCAGCTTAAACCAATAGGAGTTTATTCTTCCCACATAATAAGCTGTCTGAGGGAGGCTGCTGATAGCTTTGGTTCAGCAACTCATTGATACTAGGGCCAACATCATAGTGATTCTCCTGGTTTTCCCTCATGTTATACCATGACTGCCACCCCCCCAGAACACCACAGCCACCTTTAGGGCAGGAAAAGGAGACAGTGCCAGTCTTGTGTATTCCTTTTACCTGGAAAGCAAAAACGCAAAAAACGTTCCTAGGGACCACCCAGAAAACTTTGCTGATGTTTAATTGGCCAGAACCAGGCCACATGGTCACCCCTTGCTGCAAACAGAGTGAGGAAGGTGAGTTTCCAGCTTTTCCAGCCTTTGCTGTGGGAAGCAGGAGGGGAGAACATTGAAAATAGATGGAAACAGGTATCGGTTCAGCCAAACAGCAGTATTGACCACACATTGAAAGCTCCTGTTCTACTTCTAAGTTTCTATCCTAGAGAAATAACCTCATGTGTGCTCAAAGAAACACGTACAAGGATTTTCACTTAATGACTACATTGCTTGCAATAGCAAGTATTAGAACCATCCTAAGTGTCAGTAGGTGAATGGTTAGGCTATGATACATCAATAGCAGAATGCTGTGAGGCAGTTGAAAAGAATGAGCTAAATTAAATCTAAACATACCGATATGTGAATTTTCAAAACATTTTAAAGCAGGAAAAATTTTGAAGAACCGTATAAACAGTATGGTTCCTACCTTTGTAAAAAAAGAAATCACACACACACACACACACAATTGTGTATTTGTTTAGAAATACAGAAAAAGTGATATGGAAGGAAATAAACTGACAACAAATATTCCTCTGGGAGAGGACTGGACAACAAAGATTCCTCTAGGGAGAGGAAACTTTGCCTTTTGTTTAACTATTAATGAAATATACTCATTTTACAGATGAAATTTTTTAACTAAAAAAAGAAATTTCCCATAGCTCTTTGAAGGGAAATAAATAATTTGAGGGAATTTAACAATAATAAAACAAAACCAAAAAAATCTCAATTAGTATGCAGTATTAGCAAGAACATATCAATGATATCTAAGCAGTTAATTATTTTGTAAGCTAATATGTGTCCTTGATGAGATTTCTGCAGGAAATTTTGTTTGAGCAGATATTTTGGCCTAAGGTGCTAGGTATGTTTCCTTTAAATGTTTGTAATACTCAGCGTTAACTCAGAAACTTTAAGCTTTGGGCTGATAACAAAATTATAGCAAAGAGAAGACTTTTGGAAGCAATCATTATTTCAGATGACAGAAACAGATTTGAAGTAGATTCAGATTAACTTTTTTATATTAAACTTTTTATTTGGAGATAACTGTAAATTTACATGCAATTTTAAGAAATCACAGAGACTTTCTATGCCCTCTACCCAGTTTCTCTTATTACTGACATCTTGTAAAACTGTATAATATCACATCAGGATGTTGACATTGATATAGTCAAGGTACAGAAAAATTTCATCACCAGGAGGATCCGTCCTGTTGCCCTTTAGAGTCACACTGCTTCCCTCCCATGCCCACCCTGCTCCTTAGCCCACTGGTGACCACTAATCCACTCTACATTTCTAAAATTTTGTTTTTAGGAACATTATCTAAATGGAATCAAACAGTATGTGATCTTTTGGAATTGCTTTTTTTCACTCAACATAATTATCTGGAGATTCATCCAGGTTGTTCCTTATATTAATATATTTTTAAAAATTGCTCA